GTTACACAGGAAGAAATGCTCGGTAGCTAAAAGAAGAAATCTAAACAACGTAGCACCACATGTTTTGAGGTTTCATCAAGCCTTCTATAGAAACACATAAAGCGTTTTGTTTGTTGTTCTGCCAGGGATTTGATGCAATGTATAGTCAAATTTGTTTCTTTCTTAGGCCAACAAGATTGACCATACTTTCTTTTGTACATACAAAAGGTCTCTATTGAGCTGAGTTAAGCAAACATGTATTTGCAAAGGGAAGCAAAAAATAACTTACAAAAATTTGCTACTAATCTCAAGATTATTTCTGGGTCAGTTCTTCCAAGTAACTAAACCTCCCACAATACTCTCTGCAACAATTCAACATACTACACGAATCTCTGATTTATTAGTCTTACTCGCTTTCGTCTTCTACCTGAGCAACATTCAACGAAAATTATTGAGAAAGTAAAAACCTTTTTTTTGCATAAACGAGTTCGATTTGTCCTTCAGATCCAACTCCGAGCGAATCAAGCTTAAACTCTGTGAATAAACCTCTGAAAAGACCATGAATCCTTCTTCAAACCCAAAAAACAAAAACCCAGAAAACTTCACCGATGTTCCCGAAACGAAATCATATATTGTCTCGATCGAAAGATTAAACCCTAAATTCGGCACTCATTTTGTTGGAACTACTCATCTCTCTAAAAACCTCCAAAACGACAATCCGATTATATACGGGTTGGATTGTCCGGGTAAACGGGTTGAATATGAATAAATTACTTTATATAGTCCGGGTTGGGTATTCGGATTGGATTGTCTTATTTTTCTGGTTCATGTACTTTTCTAAAAATTAAGTAATTTCGATTTTGAGAACAAAACAGTAATTTTCGAGTTAAAACACGATTTTCAAAATTTTATATGAAAATTCTATAATTTTTATGCCAAAAATATAGGAGAAATTACAAAAATACCACTTGTTATGTGCACATTTGCAAAAATGTCACTTAAGAGTGTTTATTTGCAAAAATGTCACTAATTATAGATTTTTAAATCATACTCCCTCTGTTTCAAAATATAAGTTGTTTTAGCAAAAAACACGGATATTAAGAAATTACTTTTCAACTAAAAAATATTATTTAATATATCTAATAAAAATAATTTGACCAATCACACAAAAGACTGCAAAATACTAATGGTCACACAATATTCAATAAAGTTAAAAGTACCTAGTATTGT